AAGCTAATTTCATATAAAAACCAATGCTAGGCATGCTAGGTCACATAAAGCTTATGCATTACACTAGAGATGTGTAAAGTTTCTTTCAATGTTTTCTCAAAAGATAACCCCAACAGTTGAGGTCACCTTTCTCTCTGGCCTCATGCTCATAAAGGGCAACTTTTCATGTTAGTGTATATTTTTCGAGAAAATGGCATGTTTCCTCGTCATTTTTTGGTGATGATTATCTTTTGCCTGTTGTCAGGGTAGCGTTTGTCAGTTCGATCCGCTAAGAAGTTGATTTGGGGACTTAGAAGTCAGGAAACATTTTCATCACATTAATAAACTTCAAATACCAGTTAATTTTCTTTTTATATATCCATTTTTTCGTCGCTGTAGTTCTAGGCTTAGCACCTCCTTTTTAAATGAGAAGTTTCCTCATCGCTGAATACTTTATTAAAAGTCTCAAAAAACTAGTTACAACCAAATTAAACATCCGCTGAGATTGGAAAGAAATTGTAAGAACTTGAAGTTGTTAGTGAGAGGATACATGTTTTCCCCAGGCTGAAAATTAGACGTGGGATCAGTTTGTACTATATGCAAAAAAAGATGAGCTTCGAGGAATCTTTTGTTTCCTAATTGCAGAGCTTATTTCCATTTCAAGGGAAAGTGTTTGGTGTATTTCACCAGAAAACGACGGCGGATTCCTTTTAGCCAACTGTCGATTAACTTTACTCGAACATTCTTGTTGACTCTGTTTCCGAGATGATCCCCTTCGATTTCGGTGAAAAAGTGCTACGTTTTCGTCCTTCGTTTGACGAATATCGTCATGGCGGGGGATCTTCCTGGCAGTCATATTCGAGCCAACGAGACAAGATAACCACCCTAAACGATTTATATATACCCTAACTCTAAGCTTTTGATGGGGTATAAAGTGATTTGGTCAGTCCAAGTCATATGTCAATCTCGAAGCACATACACACTCAAATGCTTCAAGGTTGACATATGATTTTAACTAGCCAAATATATATATATATATATACAGCTTTTTAGGGCTGAGCTGATGCGTTTTCTTGACCCGTTAGCTTGAATATGATTGTAAAGATGATATCCTACTATGAGCTTAGCATATATGAGCTGTGTTCAGCCTATTTCGTTTAAGATGTTGAAGGACTGGTAGTTGAATTTTTTCACAGTCATATGCATACAACTGACTTTCCCATTCAATTGCACACAGCCTTTCTCTCCCAAAAGGTGTTTTCCTTCATGCAGGAGTGGAATGCACTTTCGACCAAGCCTAGACCCTATCATCACCCCCAGCGGGACTCGAACCCGGTTTGTGGTAGTACAGTGCATAATCTCGACACGGTAGCCACTGAGCAGTGTCGAGTCGAGTGTGGCTCGAGTACCGTTGGGAGGGTTGATAAGACCTAGGCGAGGTGGAAACTGCATTCCACTCCGCCTGAATGATGATGCCTACTCAAACGAAATATGGTGAACACAGCTCATATATCCGATTTATTGGTAGTCTTCAAAATCTACTCGGAAGGACAAAGGAAGCTTGGCATATTGTCACGGTAATCCAAGGCCTCGGAAACCGCATCAACAGGAAGGTTCCAGTAGAGCCAATCGACAGCTGGTCAACAGGAATCTGCCATCGTGTTCTGGTGAGACCGACCTTTGAACCTTTTCACCAAACACTTTCACTTAAAAGGGTAATAAGCTCAACCCTTTGTACTGTTGCCATGGCGAAACTTCTGCCAGGCAATAGGGGCCAAAGAGACGAACTACCAGACTCACATGTATTCGGAAGATGGATGAGTTTTTGGCGTCTTGCTTGACCGTCAAGCCGAACAGGTTAACGGCCGTTTTGTAGCGCAGAATGTTGAGGTAGTCCAGCGTCAGGTTGTAGGTGTCCGGTTTCAACTGCCACTCGGCCAGGGAGCCCGGTTTGCCCGGAGGCAGAAGACGCCAACCGGACAGCATGTTTTGCAGAAACGCATAGACCGGCTTGTAGCCACGCAGCTCGATGGAGGTCAGATTCATGCAAGAAGCATAGTAGACTTGAGCCAACTGGAAGTCACGCCCTTGGCCCGGGACCAGAGTGGACTGCGGCCGAATCGTTCGGCCGGAAGTTGTGTTCTCTTCTGTGAAAGGAGAGCAGCGAGTGTGAAAAAGTGTCTCGTCATTCGAGCCAAAGTGGACCGCTGTGCGGCAGTCACTCTCCAAAACTGGCCGTCAGAAAGGTCCATCATGCAGCCTTTGTACCTTTCGTGCGGTCTGAAAAATTGCCGCCTGAAGACAATCGTCAATCGAGCTTCCTCTAAAAACTGACCTTTACATTTTCCGCCGATGACAAATATCGCTTCAGCCAGCAACCACTGGCACCAAAAATATAAACATCGAGTTTTG